CAGCGTGCAGGAATGTGCTCCGTGCTTTTCTTCACGGAGGGGGAAATGTTCAGCAAAGCTTTCTGAGGAATCCCTGACCCTGSCAGGCCTCCCTGAACGCGCAGGCTCTGCCTGACGTGAGGCTGCTCCTCCTTTGAGGAAGCTTTTCCTGGCTCTGGAAGGCAGGGAATGCCTSGCAGAGGGGAGGGCTCGCTGAAATCCTGCCCTTCTCATCCTCTGGCTGATGGAAAAAGGAGCCAAGGATGAGTGGAGGAGGCTGAACAGGGCTGGGTTTTCTTTGGGAGAGGAGGAGAGCAAAGGGGCTGTGATTTGGGGGAGCAGGGAGGGAGAGCTGTGAATCAAGGACAGAGGATGCTCGGGATGGGGCAGAGCTCTCAGGGATCCTGGGGACATTCACACTGTGCCACGTTCCACGGGGAGGTGGATCTGGTGGAAAAGGTGCAGGATTTTGTGTGGAGAGAGCGTGCTGGTGCAGGATTTTTGTGTGGAAAGGGCAGCAGAGGCACTCGGGGAGCCGGCGGTAATGAGGATACGCCTCATTAATTGCATTTGGAATACTGGATGGGTGAAAATGGGCTGGGAGAAGCTGGAATTTGCAGATCAAGCCTTCAGCACTGGGTCTGTGCTCACTCCAGGTGCACAGGAGTGTGAAGAGCCGAGCTGGAGCTGTCTGTAACCCAGAGCATCCCGAGGATCCAGGGAACTCATCCTCAACCTCCAGCACGAACAGAGAAATCTGAATGAGCCTTTCCAWCCCCCAGGCTCCCTGTGAAGCGATCAGAGCAGCCCTCCCTCGCAGATTTGTGTCACACGGGTGTTGGGGTGCGTGGGAAGGGCGCCCACATCCATTAAATCCAAATCTCCAAACCGGCACTCGGCACCCCAGAGGACTCTTCTGCAAAGCTCTGCTCGCTCAGGGGAGCAGAGACAGAGCTGTAAAGGGCTCTGTGGGGTTTTTTGGCTGCAGGGCTGGCTGTGATGGCACTGTGGTGGCACCAGAAAGGGCCGGGCTGATGGGATGGGAACAGCAGAGGAGCCCCAGCTCCATCCCCACTCCCCTATCCCCCCTCAGGGACCGTGACAGCGAGGGATTAGTGGGGGCAGGGTGCTGAAATTATTTTTATCTCCTCGTCTTGTTGTGCCTGTGCACAAGTGCCAGCCTTTTCAGCCTTTTTTTTTTCTTTCTTTCTTTCTTTTTTTTTTTCCCCTCCTGTGAAGCATTAACTGGGTGGGTTGCCATAGCAACCCCCGCATGATGAGTTGGGCTGCTTCTTGCAGAGATTCCTCCCTCAACAGTCAAGATTTCTCTCTCCCGAYGTTCCATCCCCTTCCTCATTTTCCCTAAAAGCTCCCCCTGCTCTCCATCCAGGGCTGGGGCAGGGTGGGAAGGAGCAGCTCCAGTGGGATGAGTGGGAAGGATCTCTGCTCCCCACCTCTTGTGCAGAGCTCAGAATTTAATCAGCTTTCCAGCATGACATCCCATTTATTTGCAGTTTTTCCCAAAGAGGGCAGGGAGGTGGTTTAGGTGCTTGTCCTAAATGGGGTGACACTGGTATGGTTCCCAGGTTGAAGCAGGAATGAGAAGATTTTATCCTTYCATTCAATCCCTCTGAACGAGCCCAGAGAAGTTTGCTTTGAAAACAAAACCCAGCCCGGGTTGTGGCAGGGTAATAAACTGGATGGACCATGGGCATTTATCCAAATTGGGCCTTGAGGTGAAGAATAAACTTCTGCAGAGCTGGGGAAGAGGCTGTGACCTCCCTGACCTGCAATTTTCGTGTTAAAACCCATTCAAACCCAAGGCCTGTTTTGATGCCTTAGGATTTTTAGCTTCTACATTTCATGTATCTGTATTCTTGTATTACTCTATTAGAGCAATAAAACTGCTGCTCTCCCATCTTCAGACAAAACAATTCCTCTCTGAGCCTGAATCCAAGGACACCTCGCTGCCTCAGAGCCCCAAAATATGGAAACAACAGAGAATTGGGTGGAGCAAGTTTGGGGTGGTTGACATCCTGACCTGAAGATCACTGGAGAATTAAGGCCCGATTTGTTAATAAGGCAGAACTTATAAAAGGTGAAGATCTCATGACTCAGGGCCCATTTTGGGTGTAGCCTCAGGAGGAGGAGGCTTTGTCTGCCCTAATGTACCAGGGGGCCTGTTAGGCCTGGATTAAAGTTTCTATTCTCATTCTTTTAAGTTTGTCTGCCCTCTGTTTCAGGTGACCATGATTGATAAGGCATCAGTTTCACCAGAGGTTTTTTTTCACCTCAGGAACCCATTTCCCTTCTCTAAACAGCAGCGACAGCGCTGCTCTAGAACAGATTAATTGAGGATGGTACACGAGTTGATTCTGAGGGAGAACTCATTACTTTTTCAGGATGTTTGTTTGCCACTGGAATCAAAATTGTTTGGAGGGCAGGTACAGGAACAGGGCAGAGTAACCATGCACTCAGCACAGAGAGGTAGAATGAGGGCTCTGGAGGGGGCTGGGATGGGAATTCCTGGGAACTGAGGGCTCAGGAGGATTCTGAGCCGGGAATTCCTCACATCCAAGGGCTCAGGGGGGCTGGGAATTCCTGGGAACCAAGGGCTCAGAAGGGTGACCTGGGTTGGGAATTCCTGGGAACAGTGGGTTCAGGAGGGCTGGGAATTCCTGGGAACCAGGGGCTCTGGAGGGTCCTGGGTTGGGAATTGCTGGGAATAGAGGGCTCAGGAGAGTGACCTGGGTTGGGAATTCCTGGGAACTGAGGGTTCAGGAGGGCCCTGAGCTGGGAACTCCTGGGAACAAAGTGCTCAGGACAGGTGGGAATTGCTGGGATCCGAGAGCTCAGGAGGGTGTCCTGGGCTGGGAATTGCTGGGATCTGATGGCTCAGGAGGGTGTCCTGGGCTGGGAATTGCTGGGATCTGATGGCTCAGGAGGGTGTCCTGGGCTGGGAATTGCTGGAATTCTCCCAGGAGCCTGTCAGGGGTGCCGTGCAGGCGCTGCTGCCTGCGCTGTTGGCAGATGATGAATGCAGCTGCTGATACAAACACAATGAGGTGGTGTCGAGGAAAAGGGCTGGCTTTGTTCTGTGCCTCAGCTCCAGCAGGGCAGGGACCTGATCCCCTGATTTCCTGATCATCTCCTGATTTCCTGATCATGTCCTGATTTCCTGATCATCTCCTGATTTCCTGATCTCCTCATTTCCCAATTTCCTGATCTCCTGAATTCCTGATATCCCGATCTCCTGAATTCCAGATCTCCTGATCATCTCCAGATCTCCTGATCATCTCCAGATCTCCTGATTTCCTGATCATCTGATCTCCTGAATTCCTGATCTCCAGATCTCCTGCTCTCCTGCGTGTGCCCTCAGCACCAAACCCCTGTGTCCAGCCCCAGGAGGCCACAGAGCAGTGGCAGTGGCCATGGCCAGTGTGAGAGCCCGGGTGTGGGTGATGCTGGTGTTTCTGCTGGCTGCAAACGGCTCTGGGCTCCTCTGGCCACCTGCACGCTGAGTTTGGCCACTGCCAGCCACTTCTGGGTGTGTTTGGCCACCTGCATGGTGAGCTTGGCCACTGCCAGCCACTCCTGGGTGGGTTTGGCCACTTGCACGGTGAATTTGGCCACTGCCAGCCACTCCTGTGCTGTTTCCTGCTGGGGCTGCCCAGGTTTAGCTCAGACTGTGCCGTGTGTGGAGCTGAAGGGCTTTAAAAGGAGTTCATTTAACAAAGGCTTCATTTCGCCCTCTCTGCCCACTGTGACCTTCAAAGCTGAAGCCCTCCAGGGCACGGTGGCCCCGGTCCAAGGAGAGAAAGCCCAGCCTGCTGCTGGCATTAAATTCCCTGGAATCAGGCAGGAACATGAGGCGAGAGGATTTCCCAGTATTTCCAACTGTGACCTTCAGAGCGTGCAAATGTTGGCTTTAACCTTATTAACAGCAGAGGCCTTTCTGTGACCCCACTGGGATAACTCCCCCCATTCCCCCCCCTCTCTGGGGTTTTTTTTTGGAGGCAGGACAATGATGCTGATCCGTCGTGATGCTCTGTAGAGACAGGACAAGGAGCGAGGGCTACAAATGGACAGAGGGGAAATTCAGATTTTGGGAATGAATGCTTTGCTGTGAAGGCAGTGACAGAGTGTCCAGGGAGGCTGYGGCTGCCCCATCCCTGGACGTGTCCGAGGGTTGGATGTGGCTCGGTGGGAGCTGTCCCCCCACATGGCAGAGGGTGGGGCKGGCCGAGCTTTGAGGTCCATCCCACGATTATGTGACAGCGTCTGTGACATCCCCCGTGTGACATCTTTCCGTGTCATCTGTCTCCGGCCAAGGCAACGCTGCCCGCGGGACCCCCGGAGCCCCGGGCTGTGTGTGCTGAGCCGGGAGGAGCCGGGAGCGCCCGGGGCTGGGGGAGGCGGCCGCGCATGTGCCGCCAGTGCCCCCCGCCCGGGCTGCTCCAGCATCGCCGGCATCCTCCTCCTCGCCATCCTCCTCCTCGCCATCCTCCTCCTCGCCATCCTCCTCCTCGCCATCCTCCTCCTCGCCATCCTCCATCCTCCCCGCCGGGCTCCGCTCCCGCAGCCGCCGAACAAAAGCTTGGCCGCGCCCCGCGGAGCCGCTCCCGGCTCGGGGCACCTGCTGCTGCTGCTGCTGCTGCTGCTGCTGCTGCTGCTCTGCTGCCTCCGCCGATCCTCCGCCGCCGCTGCTGCTGCTGCTGCTGTTTCTCCCCATCCGCGGCTCCGCTCCGCCCGCGCCCTGCGCAGCTCGGGCCGCGCCCGCGGAGCCCCCGCAGCCGGCGGAGAGGAGAGGAGCGGAGAGGAGCGGAGCGGAGAGGAGAGGAGCGGAGCTGTCCGCGCTCGGGCTCTGTCCGTGGTGCTGCCGCCCCCGGACCGCGCCCGCCCTCCCGGCATCCTGTTGCATCGTGTGGAGCGGGGGAAGAGCATCCACTTATCCATCCACCCATCCATCCATCCGTCCATCCATCCATCCATCCGTCCATCCATCCGTCCTGCCGAGGAGCCTGAGCATCGGCCCGGCTCGGAACAATGGCTGCGCTGCCGCGGTTGCTGTGCGCGGCCGCGCTCGCCCTGCTGCTCTGGGGTAGGTGCTGCCATCCCCTCCCCTCTCCRCACCTCCGGAGCTCTCCTTTGAAGAAGGGAGAACGCTCCTTTCATGCCTGCCCTCCGAGCGGTTCCCCGGTTGCCGGGAGAAGGGAATTACGCTGGTGCGGAGTTGGTGTGAGTGTGARGGAGTGGATGCGAGCAGAGAAAACACCTCCGTGCCGAGCAGACTCGCGGCACAAAGCGTGAGCGTGGTTTTCGCTGTTGGCCGCTGGTTTGGGATTTTCAGCGCGATTTACCCTCGAGGTGCCTCGGGGAGGGTGTGCAGCCCATTAAAGCGGGGTTTTAGTGCCGGTTTTCCGTGCAGGCTGCRTGAGCCCGAGTTAATCAATTGATTGAAGCTGCAGTTTGGTTCCTGCCGAGAGGAAAGGTTGCGTGGTTTGGCCACATTTGATGTGCGTGTGCCTTCAGCCCTGCGTGTGGGTGCTGTCTGCGTGCACGGATCTCATTTCACCAGAGAAAAGCACGATCCAGGAGGGTTTTTTTTTTGTTTTCTTTCTGCCTGAAAGGTGATGCTGCCCGTGGAGCTGGTAGTACGCGAGAATCGGGATCAGGCTGCTTCCAGGAATAGTCCCGGGATAATTTGTTGCTTGAGAGAGCGGGTTAATGGTGCCTCAGAGGCTGGGGAGGAGGGAGCAGCCAGCAAAGTCAGCGTCTGGGCTCTGGAGACAGCCTCGGACAGACAGAACCCGCGATTGTTTAGCCCAGGGGACAAATGTCAGCAGGGATTTGGTGCGAGATGCCGTGCTGGAGCCACCCCTCCCTGCTCGAGCGTGTGGCTTCACATGCAACCATTTCTGCCCTCTTTGCAAGAGCAGCATTCGAGAGTTGCCAGCGTTAGCACAGCTCTGATTGGAAGCGTTTTGAGCAGCAATGCCTGGGAAATCAATAAYTCCTCCTGCTGCCAAATTTACTCCTGTCCAAGCTCCTGTATTCCCAGGGGAGCCCAGGGACAGGGAGGGTGCTGGACTCTCCCAGTTTTTGCTGAATTGAAGYGTCCAGACCTTTCAACTTGGCACAAAGAGTGAGCTGTTCCTCCCCGCTGGAATTCTGGGCTTTCCCTCTTCCCTCAGCCCAGACTGTAATTGCTGCTGGAACAGGAGCATGCCCAGCACGCATGGGAGGGAAAGAACAATGCCTTTAAAGTGGCATTAATTACCAGGGAAAGATGAAAGTTGTGGCAAAGCAGAGGCTGGAGAGGTGAATCTGTGTGAAGTGATCACCCTCTGTTAATTATTATGAATTATTAACRTCTCAGAGAAGAAAGCTTGGTAAAATGTGACATTTGAGACTTATCTGTTATCAGACAGCACTAGAAACAAATCAAACCATTTTCCATTGGGGACATTAATGCCAAGATGTGAATAACTGGYGTTTCTGTGATTCTGTCTTAACGCCTCCTTCTCTTCTGCTCCTCTCCCCCAGCTGGAATTTGTTCCTCAGTGTGTGTGGAAGTCCCATCTGAGACAGAAGCTGTCCAAGGCACGGACATGAAGCTGCTCTGCATCTCCTGCATGAAGAGGGAAGAGGTGACGGCCAGCACGGTGGTGGAATGGTTCTACAGGCCCGAGGGRGGAAAGGATGAGCCTGTATGTATGGCTGGCAGCTGAGCCCTTTCCTTTTCTCTCCTTRCTTATCCCATTTCCACACTTTGGAGCAGCACAAACTCCTGACAGGGAAAAAACCAGAATTGGTTCTTGAGTTCAAATATTTGGGTTGTAGATGGATAAATGCCAATTCCCAGTTCCAATCCTGCAACACCTCAATCCCAGTTTCTAAGGATGTCAAATATGGGCTGACGCTTGGTACCCTTGTGTGAATCAGTTCTGAATCCCAAAGCTGTTCTTTTGGAGGTGAAATTGGCCTCTAATAAGTCTGCAGGACASGATTTGCTTCTTGCTGCCTCAGAGAGAGCAGTGTTATCCCGACTGTGGGAGGATCTCTGTGAGCTGCTCTGGATCCCTGACAGGAAAAGGTAAAATTGATTCTCAGACTGAATCAAAATGGAAATTGCACAGATGAGGGGCAGCTGGGATTCAAGGAAGAATRGTGAAATGGAGAACAAGATTAAGGCTGAGTGCACATTTCTTTCTGGTTATTTCATCTGAGTCTGAAGCATTAATTCAGCAGCTGTGATTGAGCAGGGCCAGGCAAAATGATAAATATTCTCCTTCTGCCTGAGAACTAAASGGACCAGGCAAAGGAATGAGCTGGGAATTCACTTTCAGTGACCTGGGGGGTCCATTTGCCAGTGGGAACCCAAAAACCAGCAACCCAAGTGAGCTGGGGGGAGTGATGGGGACTGTGRCCAGCCAGAATGCCACACRGTCACAWTTGTCCTGCAGCACTYCCATCTCAGCTGAACATCCCAGGRTTTYCTGAMCATYCCAGGGTTTCCTGACCATCCCAGGGTTTCAGCACTCCCATCTCAGCTGAACACCCCAGGGCTCCCCAAAACAGGCTGTTTATCTCCACTGTGTATATTCTGTGGCTCTTTCCTTAGGTGATCTTGCATGCATTGACTGACAAGCACTTTGCTGGCCATGAAAACAGCAAAATCCCCATTTTTAGTTCCCATTGCTGTTTTTTGTGTCATTGTCCACGTGTGTGTGTGTGTTTTTCCCTGCCTCAGTTTTTCTCCGCTCTGTGATGGAGATATTGGATTTCTGATAACTCGTTTTTTCTGTCTTTTGTGAAGTCACCTGATACTTTGAGGCTGATGGCACAGGAAGAGCTGCTGYTACCGGGGGAGCTCAGAGCATCCCTGAACAAACCCATGGCAGTGAATAACCAGCATCCCCTTTTTTCCCATTCCCTCACAGATCTACGAGTACAGGAAAACCAACCACGAGTTCCCGAGCCGCTTCAGCGGCCGGATCCAGTGGAACGGCAGCAAGGACATGCAGGACGTGTCCATCACCGTGGTGAACGTCACCCTCAACGATTCGGGCATTTACACCTGCAACATCACCCGCGAGTTCGAGTTCGAGATCCACCGGCCCCTGTTCACCAGCTCCAGGCTGATCCACCTCACCGTGGTGGAGGAGGGTACGAAGGGGATGGCAGAAGGCGCTGGGTGCTGTCACCCCGGGGTGGGGTTTGTCACCTCCTCACCGGCAGGACAGGGTGATGGGTTTGTGACCCTCGCAGGGAAGGCTGTGCCCTGTTTGATGGCTTTTTCAGGCACAGCTGGGCACAKCTGGGCAGGMTCAGCAGAGGTTTCCAGCTCCTCCCGCGGCCGCTCGGGGATGTTACAGCCCTTCCTTCCCAGCGTTTCCTCGCTGCCGCCCCCTCCCTCTCCTCCTCGTTCTCCATTTTGCCCCCAGCCCCTCGCTTCTCCTCCTTCCCTCTGTCGTGCTCGTGACTCTTCGCGTTTTGGGATTCAGCGCTGAAATCCCGGCGTGGCACAAACCGGGAATTCCGCCGCTCTTCTCAGTGTTGAGAGCTCGCAGCTCTTTGTCCGCCCTGCTCCCCTCCCTCTCCCCCACCAACAAAAAAAAAAACAAAAAAAAGGATTTTGATCCTTGAGCAGAAAAACACCAGCGAGCAGGGCACGGGGTGGGAAACAGAGCGTGAAGATGAGAGAGGTGAGGCATCCGTGAGGATGCGGGGGTGGCGCAGGATGCGAGGAGCAGCACCGCGATCCATCCCTGCCTGTTGCAGYCCCTCCCTGCCGCCTCCTCACAGCCTGAAAACCCCCGGTGTCTCTGGCAGGGCGGATTAAAAAGGTGACACCAGGGTGGGAAGTGTCCGTGGGGCTGCGTGGAAATGATGGGGGGTTGTTGGATTTTGTTCGCAGCTGGAGAAGATTTCACGTCSGTCATCTCGGAAATTATGATGTACATCCTGCTGGTGTTCCTCACCCTCTGGCTGCTCATTGAGATGATCTATTGCTACAGGAAAGTCTCCAAGGCTGAGGAGGCTGCCCAGGAAAACGCGTAAGTGTGGAGCCCTTGGAGATGAGAGCTGCTCTGCCGGGGTTCTTCACAGAGAAAACTTTATTCCTGCCCAGTGCTGCTCTTCTGTGCTTTTCAAAAGGAACTGTGCAAAAACATCCTTTCTGTTATTTATAGAGTCTGTCCTAGTAGGATTCATTGGTATCTCTCTTAAATTCAGAGACTTTCTTGGGTTAAGGTCGCTCATAACTGTCCCAGAGCAGGCAGCAAGAAGATTAAACTTTATTTAATTAMCATTACATGGCTTTGTTGGGATTTGCTCTGTCCAAAATCTCAGCAGTGTTTAGGAATGCTGAGAGACAGCCCCAGGCAGGGAGTGAATGGGGTTCCAGATTTGGACCTTGTGCAGCTGTTCTCCTGGAAGCTCTGGTTTCATCCTGGAAGCTCTGGATTCATCCTGGAAGCTCTGGATTCATCCTGGCCCATTCCCACTTTCCCCCATACCTGGCTTGGGTCAGAGCACTCTGTACTCAGTAGGAAGGTTGGATTTGTAGGTTTTTAGAGCAGGGAAGGGCTGGTGTGTGTAACTCCTGCCCATACCAAGGAGGTTCCCACCATGAGCCTCTTCCCCAGGGGATGTTTGTCACCTCAGAGACCCTTCCAGCTCTTCAGCAAAGGTGATTTTACTCRGGGTTTACACCGTGTGCTCTCTCCTTCCCTCCACCCACAGGACAGACTATCTGGCGATCCCGTCGGAGAACAAGGAGAACTGCCCTGTGCCCGTGGAGGAGTAGCAGAGAGGAGTCACTGGAGCCATGGGCACCGAGGTGGGTGTGAGGAAACGCTGGCCACTGCTCCTGTCTGCCCTCCCTCTGGTGGGGCTGGAGGAGATTCTGTTCTCCATTCAGATCCCTGGAATGTGGCTCTGCTCCTCCTCTGGAGCTTCCCCGTGGCCTCAGGACAAACAGAGGTGCCTTGAGGTGYTGCTGGGGGGTGCCCACACAGCCTGGAACCCCAAACCAACCCAGGCCATGATGTAATTACACTCCCTTTGTGCTTTTCTGTGGAGTTGGGAATCCTCACTGTCCCTGCAGAAAAGCAGCTGTGTCCATGAGGGCTCCATCTCCAAAGGAAACATCTCCTAGGAAGGATTTTATGTGCTAAAGATTAAAATCCGGGTCTGTTAAACTCTCACTCACCCCCCACCATCAGTTCCCATGCCGATTTTGATCCCACTCTTGCTCCAGCCAGCTCCAAGAGGAATTCTCTCCCTTGCAGGGGCTCTGAAGACAGAAGGACCACGCCACACCAGCCAGGTTTSAGGGGGAGCTCTGCGCCGCCGGGAGGAACACGGGGAAGTGTAAATCCTCTTCCATTTGCCTCRGACTCTGTACAGCCCTGCCTTTGGCCCCGTGCCCGCCCGCTGCTGAAGGACTCTTCTGTTGAAGCACCGGAGCAAACGGCACAGGGGTGCGGGCAGCACGGCTCCTTGCCGGGTTTCAGCTCCATCAGCACCTCGATGGCTTTGTAAATGTTCCCCGTCACTCCTCAGCCGCTCTCACCACCACCTTTATTTGCTGAACTCGCTCCTTCTCCATTGCAGAGGTTTTCGGGGTATGTATGGCATGCTGCCCTGAGCCGCAGGACTGCCAGTGAGGCTCTCTGACGGGGTTGTTCCTCCACACACCGTGGCCCAAGAAGTTATATCGGGTGAAAACAGGAAGAATTTAATGGCTTAATGAAGTCGCTCTGGATTTTGGGCTGTTCGTGTAAAGCAGAGTAGGGTGAGGACTGGAATGCAGCAGAATTGAAAATGTGCAGCGGGAAAGACAGGACCCTGTGTGTCCTTCTGGAGGGAGTTTTGATCCTGAAATGTTCCTGCTTTGGGAAGAAGGATGATGTAAATATAAACCCCACTGCGTCCCTTTCATTTATCAACCATAAATCAGCCCTTTCCACCTGCCTGGCACAGCGGGTTCGCTCCTGGAGCACTGTGACAGCTGGCAAGGCAGCAGGATGGGTACGGGATCCACCCTTTCCTGGGAAACCCCACAAAGGGAGGCAGGAGAAATAAATAGGATGCAAAACCCTCCTAGGACRGCAGCTCGGTAAAATGGTTGTGGTTTTTGTAACCGTGACAGCAGCACCATCTAGAGGGACAGGACAGACAGAAAACACCCATTTCCCCCRGTTAATCCTAATTCCCTCTTGGGGTAATTAATCACCAGTGTGAACAGCCTGCTGTTCATCCTAAATGATCCCCGGCTGCCCAGGGATCACGCTGGGAATTCCATCTTTCCTATGCARGCTTACCTTTTCAGAGGGTTAAGCAGAGTAAAACGCATTTTCTGTCCTTCGGTGTAGATAAACTGAGCTCAAACCAGGATTGGAAGGGGGGGAAAGGCAGAAACGCTGGCCAGGGTGGAATTAGGACAAAGTGGGGAAGGTTTRGGTTTGTGATGGCAGAGGCTCCTGCTGCAATGGAGCCAGAACTGGCAGAATTCTGCTCCACTGACCGCTTGTAAGTAGCTGCAAGCGCTTGTAACTGCAGGCACGCTCCCCGCCCACGGAATCCCCTCGGCTTTGTTCTGCTGCTTTTTATGTGCTCGCTGAAACCAAGGAAATTACCCCGTTTGGAAGTCAGGCCCAGGCCAGATTTCCGACTGGCACTTGTTCAAAATCCCTTTTTTTAGAGTGGGTGTCAACTTGAGTGAACTACTCCTCGTAGTAGGATCGCTCCCAAATCCAGAGCCAAGCCTGGCAACGGGAGCACATTTCCCACAGGAAGCTGACTCGTAGTCTGGGCAGCAGTTCCCTAAAATCTAATATCCAAAAGGGATATCCAAAAGTAATATCCAAAAAGGGATATCCAAAAGGGATATCCAAAAGGGAAATCCAAAAGTAATATCCAAAAAGGGATATCCAAAAGGGAAATCCAAAAGGAATATTTAAAAGGGATATCCAAAAAGGGATATCCAAAAGGGAAATCCAAAAGGAATATTTTAAAAGGGATATCCAAAAAGGGAAATCCAAAAAGGAATATCCAAAAGGAATATCCAAAAGGATATCCCAGCAGCTCCTCTTCGAATTCAGCTGGATGGCATCACTTCCCCTATCCCAGTTTTCCTGGCAGAATCCTAAACTCAGGCGAGGAGGGACTGGGTTGTAACTCTGGGGTTTCCAGCACTGAGCCCACGGTGATTTTTAGGACACCTCTCTGCCACTCCAGCTCTGCTCCTCAGTCCCTATGAACCATGGGTGACCCTCTGGTGTCAAACTTAAATCAAAAAAAGGAGTGAACTTCTCAGGAAGTTCTTGAGAGCTACCTCAGGTGGTAGAGAAGGGCAATCCCTCGTCCTGCACCTCCCCAAGTCTTATAAGCATCTCCTGAAGATGCTTCTTTTTTGGACAGATCCTTCACTTTTCCAGTTCCTGCAGAGGTGACCATTGCCACGTGCAGAGCTGACCCTTCCTCCAAGCAGGAGGAAACGGGGTGCAAAATTTTCCTCGAGAACCTCGCAGGGAAAAGAGTAATTATTAATAATAATTCAAAAATCCTTTTTTTCCCAAGAGCTGGAAGAGATAGTCCTGGCAAAGACTCTCACTGTGTATTTGCACTGACAGAGGAGACTCCAGAACAGGCAGGAAAATAAACAGAGCCAAGAGCCACGCTGGTTGTCRGATAGATTTTTTAATTGATACCGTACTTCCATGGTACTAACTACTTACACGGAGTTTGGCTGCAGAGCCTGTACAGTTCCTACGTTCCAGTATCGTTTTTTAACCGCGGGTTGTGGGTTTATTTTTTATTTTGTTTCATTTTTCTTTTGCGCACAGCGCAAAGTTTCTGACAGTCGGGACAACTCCTAAAACAAACCCCCCAAATCCTTCCCCCACCCGCCCCAGAGTCACCTCAGCCTCAGGAGGGGATTCCAGGAGGGAAGCAGGAGCCCGTGGTGGTTGGAGGAGAGCCTGGTTTGTTGGCTTTTGGATTTTAGCAGCTTTATCCAGCCCTGGAGCAGGCGGTGGGAGCGGAGATCCCGTGGGATGGTGCTGTCCCAAAGGTGCCACGGCCACTCCTGGGAGCTTGTGACGCTTCCAGCTGCTCATCCTTTCCTCCACGTCCAGCCCCGAGCCGGGTCGGTGCCTCCATCCCTCCCTCCTTCCATCCCTGCTCTCCCAGGGCCATTTCCCRGGAGATGGGGATGACACAGGACACACGTGGCACAGGCTCCACCTCTGCTGGAGGAGGCTGCAGCAGCTGCTCTCCCAAATCCTGATCCTCCAGGAGCAGAGCAGGGATGTGCCCAAATGGCTGCATATTGGAATTTGCTCCCCACCTGCTCTCCCAAAACAGGACTAGAGCAGGGATGTGTCCAAATGGCTGCACAATGGGGTTGGTTCCCCACCTGCTCCTTTCCAATCTCAATTTCACCACGACTAGAGCAGGGATGTGGCCACATGGCTGCACATCAGGGTTTGTTCCCCACCTGCTCCTCCCAAATTCTGATTCCGCCATGATCAGAGCAGGGATGTGCCCAAATGGCTGCACATTGAATTTGCTCCCCACCTGCTCTCCCAAATCCTGATTTTACTAGGAACAGAGCAGGGATGTGCCCAAATGGCTGCACATCAGGGTTTGCTCCCCACCTGCTCCTCTCCAACCTCAATTTCACCAGGATCAGAGCAGGGATGTGGCCACGAGGCTGCACATTGGAATTTGTTCCCTACCCGCTTTCCCAAATTTCACCAGGAGCAGAGCAGGGATGTAGCCACACATCTGCACATCAGGGTTTGTTCCCTACCTGCTCTCTTAAATCCTGATTTTACCAGGAGCAGACAGGGATGTGCCCAAATGGCTGCACATTGGGATTTGTTCCCCACCTGCTCTCCCAAATCATGATTCCACCAGGAGCAGAGCAAGGATGTACCCAATTGTCTGCATATCAGGGTTTTTTTCCCCACCTACTCTTGGAGCTGGGCTCAGGGAAGGTGGCCTTTAACRTTAGCAATGGAATTGGCCTAAATGAGTGAGGTAACAGAAACGGCCAGAGGAGGAACCTCCCTGAGCCATGTGCAAATATAATTCCTTCAGCAGAAGGAAGTCCTTTTCCCTACTGAAAAAAAAAATTGAAATAAAATAAAATAAAATAAAATAAAATAAAATAAAATAAAATAAAA